GCGAAGACAATTTCGAAGAGTATACCCAGCGAGAGCACCGTCTACTTGCCATTGGGAAGGGAAAACAATAAAATGTCGACTCATGAGAATTATTGTCACCGCGAACAAATGCGTCATCGAATGGCTCTTGATGATCTGCCTCGTCACCACAATTCCGATGAAGACGCAGATGCCACGCAGATGTAGGTCGCTGTTAGTAATCACGTAAGTATTTAATAGTCACAGCACAGCGACACGAGAAGTCACCACGACGTTGATGTGTTTTCCTATTTTTGTGTTTCCATCATAACAACCATAGCGCTATGCTTGCTTCAGCAAAGTTAACCGATGATTTTCAGATCGTGAGTCCCCCAAAATCCAAGGGACGTCCAAAACAAAAGCCACGGGCTGTTACAGCAAAGCGGAATCAAGCGATAGTAATGGTAGAGGAAGACTTAGAAATGCACGAACGCCAAATGAGTCTACTGACAGTTTAACTACTGGACGGCGATCCCATTTACAAGTTGACACACGAGAAGCTGCTGCAGTTCAAGGAGTTCCTGTTCGCCACGAAGCCGAAGCCTCCCATCGCCCACGAGATAGCGAAGCTCCCCCCCCACAAAACCACTATTGCGACCAGAAGAAGTGATGCGAATCTTCCCCATCCAATTAATTAACAAATGTACCTCCAAGGTCACAGCCTACCAAACAAAAAAACGGGAACGTTGGAAATGCAGCTGGCGCTGGAAATTGTTGGCGTTGGAGTGTTCGCGAACTCTACGGTATCGCTCATGAGAAAGTGGCACACCGCAGTAAAACTCGTCAAGAAAATCAAAAGAGCTATAACCTGGATTGATCGATTAGACTTCGCGCAATACGGGAATTCTAGCTTCTACGTCGAGGAGGACACCACTATACCTAAGCTGTTGAACGATTTGCCAATTCTGTCGAACGAGTATGCAAACTTGGTGGATTTGGCTTCGAAGGACACCCTTAGCGCCCAAGTCATGCAGATGATTCTACACAAACTGTTTGGTGCGGATCCTAGTGTTCTAGTGATCGACCCGTCTAACATGGGGATTTCAAATGGAGCTTTAACGACAGACATCAGGTATTTTAAACTGGCGTTGGCTGGAGTCACGAAGAAGATGAAAGTGCTGTTTCCAATCAACTGCAACAACAACCACTGGTGCGCTGTGCTAATGGATTTGGAGAAGGGCAGAGTGTACGTCTACGACTCGATGGCGTCCTCCTACATGATCGGTGTCCGTGCCGTGGCACAGAAGATGATCATGATGCCGCCAGACGGAGTCAGACCTAGTGCTCGCTTGGTGACTCACGACCCTGGACTTGGCGTTCAGTGCGACAGCTATAATTGCGGTGTGTATGTCTTGCTGGTATTTGGAGATGTTCTGTGGGTCAGAGCCGCTCGGCCACCTCGACAAAAAGACTCTGCAATGCATGCGCTACCGCTACTTGCGCATGTGTATAGAAGAACAAGGAAGTAGTAGTAGCTAAGTCACTGAACTCGTTGCATCGAGCTATGTTTGTCGAGTTATAGGCTTGATAATGTCTTTAGTAATTGAAGGGGATAACCTGCTCAGCAGAACGCTTCTATCTCTGCGGACTCTGGTACTGTCACTGAACTCGTTGCATCGAACTATGTTTGTCGAGTTATATGCTTGACAATGTCTTATGTACTTGAAGGGGATAACCTGCTCAGCAGAATGCTTCTATCTCTGCGGACTCTGGTACTGCCGATGTCGATCCACTCCGGCTCTTTGGCATCTTTCGGATATACGTGTATAGTGTATAAGTTTTAGGCCGGCTCTTTCGATTTGGGTGCTGTAGTGGGCACAGGATGGGTGTCTGACGGTCACAACTGGGTACGGGTGGGTGCTCGTAATTCTGTCTTGTCCCGTCCCATGTGCACGAGGTGGGTGCAGCAACGAGTGCCAATTTAAAAAAGGGGTATTTGATGTATTCAAAAATGATCCAAAGGTCTCGCCTGTAGACCCTCATAAAAATTGCAATGTCGTGAGCTGGGCCAAGAGAATGCGGTATGCCCCGCTCAAAAAATTACAACGGAGATGTATTGTAATATATCACGAAGCTATATTACGCGTCAGCTTTGCTAGTCGGTGGCTTAAGGTAGAGTGATACATCGACCACCCTAAATTTGGAGCTTTCCTTGATTTTCTTTTTGCAAAATGCATTTGGGTACATCATATTGGCCCTTTTCTAATTTTGGGTACCTCGAGTTTCCCGTGGATTAAAAGCAGTTTAGGAGAGCCTACCTAATGTCATATCCCTTTCAGTCTGCATTTGCGCATTTCTCTTCCTCACGAATTGGAGCCTCAAGTTGGAGGTTCACCCTCCGCCATGACCTCCAACTGCTCCAGCACCACTTACGAGCACCTGTTCCGCTCTCTAGCGCGTCATTCGCGTCTGTTCCCATTGCGCAGCTCCGATGTAACGTTATTGGCCACACCCACAGACTTCTACCAGCAGCTAGTGCACAATATACAGCTCGCAGAGACACGAATCTCCATCTCCTCGCTGTATCTCGGCACGGGTCAATTGGAGAGCGATTTGGTGGGCGCACTAGCCACGAGACTAAAAGAACGACCGCATCTCCAGGTGCAGATCGTACTGGACTATTCTCGCGGCCAACGCGGCGGTGTCACGGCCAGTTCCGTCACCATGTTAGCTCCATTATTGAAGCAATTTCCGAACAACGTGGAGCTATTTCTATTCCGCGTACCACAACTCTCAGGACTCAAAGCCAAACTACCTCCGCAATTTAATGAGACGCTGGGCGTCTCTCACGCTAAAGTGTATTTAGTGGACGACACTCTCGTGCTTAGTGGCGCAAATTTGAGCAACGATTACTTCACCAATAGACAGGATCGATACGTGCAATTGACAAACTGTGGGGCGTTGGCACAGTTCTACCATCAGTTCGTACAACTGGTTACCGGTTTTTCGTATAGAGTCAAACTGGAATCGTTGACATCCGCCAAGAGCGACTACAAGTTGTTGGCACCTCAACTGGCTCACGACTCGGAGGCCGCAAAGACGGCAATGCGACGCGATCTCGAGAAGCTAGTGGACCCAAGTCAGTATCAGCAAGATAAAGACGACGCACGCACCGATGCGTGGGCGTTTCCAACGCTGCAATTTACACCAATCTCCATGGACCACGATGAGCGTGTGCTAAGTGAGTTTGTGCGGCAATTACCGCGTGGTTCGCAGCTCCAAATTGCGTCGGGATACTTGAATTTTCCTCCGTTTCTAAGTGGATTATTGGAACACTGTCAAGCTGGTTTAGACGTGATTTCTGCTGCCCCACGAGCGAACGGCTTCTACGACGCACGTGGCGTGAAAGGAGCGTTGCCTATGGCTTATTCTCTGATCGAGCAAGACTTTTTTGAACGCACTCTTAGCCGTAAGTATCCAACAGTGCTACGGGAATTCAACCGACCAAACTGGACTTTTCACGGCAAAGGCATGACGAGTCGAACCACTCCTCGTCGCTGTCGACCCCCTCTTCACTATCACTCGCCCCTCCTCCGTGGCGCGGCGGTCGCACCGCCGCTTTGACGCGCAGGTCGGGCGCCATGGCTTCCTGGCTGCTGCCCGCTGCAAAAATGAGTGGGGGGGGGAAAGTATACGCTACACGAGGTATACCCGCAAGCCGGATGCGGATCTCAAGCCCTCCAGCACCGTCCCATGTGCACGAGGTGGGTGCAGCACTCACTCCCTTGATATTAATGCTTCTGATAAAAGTACAGAAAACTTAATTGTTGTCGCTTACCGTAAAATGCGGCCGGAGTGAGACAAACGGGCGGAATGCAACAGCATCAATAATTACATGTATTGATGAACACCCCTCTTGCTTAAATACCTGTAGTGGGTCTCGATAACTCGAACACACACGAGGGAAGCTGGCGCTTCCTGTTAACCTTGGTTGTATTGCTTGCTAGCCGGTAGATTTCAATCTGACTAAACTAAGGGAACGTTATGTATAGAGCTCACTAGTAGTCCTCGTACATGTACTTCTATGCCAGCTTGGCCTCACGTTCTGTGCGGCCCAGTGCAGTGGACAAGGCTTGGACTCAACCAACCACTACAATAAGTAGTACTTAAGATTAAAAGGATTATTGAACGTCCTGTTCATATTTAATGTAGTTGAAGCATTCGTGAGATGGCAACATTTCCCAGCGTTTTCTAAACGCGTTGGGTCCATGCCTGCACGCATGTAAGCGCGGTCCATAAGGAGGGATGTCACAGCTGTCAGTCCTGTACTAAACCTCATAAGATTTTTTTCTTTTAAATTAGGAATTTAAGCAAAAAATGTTGTCTCACTATTGTTAGCAAGCTAACCTTCAAGTGGGCCCACGGCCCAAACCTCCACGTCCCATAAAAAATAATATTTGTTGTGTGTTTCCATAAATTTACAGCTCTCCAATTTCCAAAAATAAATAATCTTGTGAGGAAATAGCTTATTGTTCGATAATGTTATTGACAATGCTGTTTTCGGAGGCCCTGCGGGATAAGGTGTACAATCCCTCAATTACCAATGCTAGCGTGGCCTCACGTTCTGTGCGGCCCAGTGCGTTGGACTGCGCCAGCCACTACATGTACAGGCACCCGATTCTGGATAATAGCACTTGAAAAGTAATAAAGTGTAGTGAGTCACAGTGTCCGAGCACAAGTCTTACGGCCTATTTTATATATAGGCCGTAAGACATGTGCAAGCTAGGCTATAAATTCAATGGGTTTATCATAAACTGTAGTATTGTCTAGAAGTTCAGCCATAGAAAAGCATTGACGGGGCGGGTAACCTGCACCAGAATAATACGGTCTCGTATTCAAGTTGCTTTATTTCTTCTGTCGCTACACAAACACTGAAAAATGGGACAAAGAGGGGAGTTCAAAACGAACTTCAGCTGTTGAACTACTTGTAGCTCTCTACTAGCGACAATCGTGTGGTCTTCGGGTGAGGCGTGCGTAAAATTCTACTTCTTCGTGGGTATTGTTTGGCGGTAATTGTCGTAACGCTTGACGATCATACTGACGTCATCGCCCGACTTGCCAAGCGAAGCGAAGTATTCTCGGACTTTGTCGGGGTGCATTTTCTTTCTGACCCAAGAGGGGAACGCAGCTGTAAACAGAAATTCATCGCTTTCGAATTGTTTGAACCACTTGTCAACGGCAGCTTTCCTTTTAGCCGCATCCTGGGCCTTCAGTGCTGCCTTTTGAGACGCCTTAAGTGCTTGTGCGTTTTTAAAGGCGCTTGTACCCGGAACAATCTTCTTAATCGACGCGAAGTTAATTGTCCTTTCTTCTTGGTTGCCGGTTTCCACAGGCTGTGGCACAGCATTCAACCGCAACAATCTTGCTGTTTCGTGAGTACCTTCACTGCTCTTGGGAGGTCCGAGTGCTGCCGCGGAGACTCGTCCATCAGGAATGATCGCAAATGCTACAGCCACCAAAACAAACGCTGCCAGTCGCATAGTTGGTGGAAAAGAGTAGTGGTGGGGTTAGTACCTTCGGGTAGAATTGCGAATGAAGTAAATGAAGGAAAAGGTGGATCACAAAGAGGCGAAACGCTCAAACACCTGGATCGAAAGAGCCAGTAAACAGTCCGTGTGCTGTACCAATTCGTATTACAACTGGCATGACACATCTAAGGATAATACATGTAGTACATAGTATGAACTACATTCAATTGACATTAAATGTGTCGTCTTGATATTAAATAGGCACTCGTTATTTTGCCCGACTGAGGTAACATAGCATCGCATTTTATACGTGTACAAATAGTAGAGTACGGTTAAATTGGAGTAAAGGTAGGACACTAGCGCGTTTGCACTCGTCTGCGGACTTATAGCCGTGGGCCCGCCCCTCTCTTCACTTGCTGCGCTGCGCTCGGGGGGCGCCGCTGCGCGGCCTGCCCCACCCCGGCCTCTAAGTCCTCGACTCGGCAAGGCGCTGTGTCTGGGATTAGAAATTAATTCCGAGCAAGTGTTGCCAAGACCGTCGGCTAAGGACATTTTATGGATGTTGGGGGGTATAATTGTATAGTCGGTTAGCCAGTCGGGCAAAATAGACAGAACATGCCGCCCCCGCGGTTCGCTGCGCTCGCAATGGATAGAATATTCTGGAAAGTGTTGTGCTCGGCTCGCTGGTGAGCTCAGCGCTGGGCCCGCCTCGCACCCGCTCACCTTAGTTGGCGCCGCGGCTATGGCAACCACGTCGCCCAGCCCCGTGTGTGTTGTCCCAGCGATGGACGTGTGTTTATCCTATTTTCTCGGCAAAATACTCACTTCCTATTAAATAGCATGAAGAAGTATGAATTCGTATTAATAACTGGCGACACATCTAAGGATATTCGTAATATCACAATACAAATGGAAATCTCTTCTGAAAATCGTCCAGTACTGTACTTTAATAAACCGGTACAATGTACAGTACTGCACCCCGTTTTCGAGTCCCTGGACCTTTAATAAACTTCCGGATTTGATGATCTAAAATAAAACAAAACTCAGCTGATTAAACTAAAATTTGATTTATTCGCAAAATTTATATAGTACACCCCCGCGAAACGAAGTGCAGTACTGTACCCTGCAGAAGTTCTACGGGAGCTCGAGGAGCCCAAATCTAAAATAGAGGTATTTGATGTATTCAAAAATGATCCAAAGGTCTCGCCTGTAGACCCTCATAAAATTGCAATGTCGTGAGCTGGGCCAAGAGAATGCGGTATGCCCCGCTCAAAAAATTACAACGGAGATGTATTGTAATATATCACGAAGCTATATTACGCGTCAGCTTTGCTAGTCGGTGGCTTAAGGTAGAGTAATACATCGACCACGAGCTTTCCTTGATTTTCTTTTTGCAAAATGCATTTGGGTACATCATATTGGCCCTTTTCTAATTTTGGGTACCTCGAGCTCCATTGTTTTTCCCGTGGATTAAAAGCAGTTTAGGAGAGCCTACCTAATGTCATATCCCTTTCAGTCTGCATTTGCGCATTTCTCTTCCTCACGAATTGGAGCCTCAAGTTGGAGGTTCACCCTCCGCCATGACCTCCAACTGCTCCAGCACCACTTACGAGCACCTGTTCCGCTCTCTAGCGCGTCATTCGCGTCTGTTCCCATTGCGCAGCTCCGACGTAACGTTATTGGCCACACCCACAGACTTCTACCAGCAGCTAGTGCACAATATACAGCTCGCAGAGACACGAATCTCCATCTCCTCGCTGTATCTCGGCACGGGTCAATTGGAGAGCGATTTGGTGGGCGCACTAGCCACGAGACTAAAAGAACGACCGCATCTCCAAGTGCAGATCGTACTGGACTATTCTCGCGGCCAACGCGGCGGTGTCACGGCCAGTTCCGTCACCATGTTAGCTCCATTATTGAAGCAATTTCCGAACAACGTGGAGCTATTTCTATTCCGCGTACCACAACTCTCAGGACTCAAAGCCAAACTACCTCCGCAATTTAATGAGACGCTGGGCGTCTCTCACGCTAAAGTGTATTTAGTGGACGACACTCTCGTGCTTAGTGGCGCAAATTTGAGCAACGATTACTTCACCAATAGACAGGATCGATACGTGCAATTGACAAACTGCGGGGCGTTGGCACAGTTCTACCATCAGTTCGTACAACTGGTTACCGGTTTTTCGTATAGAGTCAAACTGGAATCGTTGACATCCGCCAAGAGCGACTACAAGTTGTTGGCACCTCAACTGGCTCACGACTCGGAGGCCGCAAAGACGGCAATGCGACGCGATCTCGAGAAGCTAGTGGACCCAAGTCAGTATCAGCAAGATAAAGACGACGCACGCACCGATGCGTGGGCGTTTCCAACGCTGCAATTTACACCAATCTCCATGGACCACGATGAGCGTGTGCTAAGTGAGTTTGTGCGGCAATTACCGCGTGGTTCGCAGCTCCAAATTGCGTCGGGATACTTGAATTTTCCTCCGTTTCTAAGTGAATTATTGGAACACTGTCAAGCTGGTTTAGACGTGATTTCTGCTGCCCCACGAGCGAACGGCTTCTACGACGCACGTGGCGTGAAAGGAGCGTTGCCTATGGCTTATTCTCTGATCGAGCAAGACTTTTTTGAACGCACTCTTAGCCGTGAGTATCCAACAGTGCTACGGGAATTCAACCGACCAAACTGGACTTTTCACGGCAAAGGCATGACGAGTCGAACCACTCCTCGTCGCTGTCGACCCCCTCTTCACTATCACTCGCCCCTCCTCCGTGGTGCGGCGGTCGCACCGCCGCTTTGACGCGCAGGTCGGGCGCCATCTGCTGCTGATTTGCCCCCGCTGCAAAAATGAGTGGGGGGGGGAAAGTATACGCTACACGAGGTATACCCGCAAGCCGGATGCGGATCTCAAGCCCTCCAGCACCGTCCCATGTGCACCAGCACTCACTCCCTTGATATTAATGCTTCTGATAAAAGTACAGAAAACTTAATTGTTGTCGCTTACCGTAAAATGCGGCCGGAGTGAGACAAACGGGCGGAATGCAACAGCATCAATAATTACATGTATTGATGAACACCCCTCTTGCTTAAATACCTGTAGTGGGTCTCGATAACTCGAACACACACGAGGGAAGCTGGCGCTTCCTGTTAACCTTGGTTGTATTGCTTGCTAGCCGGTAGATTTCAATCTGACTAAACTAAGGGAACGTTATGTATAGAGCTCACTAGTAGTCCTCGTACATGTACTTCTATGCCAGCTTGGCCTCACGTTCTGTGCGGCCCAGTGCAGTGGACAAGGCTTGGACTCAACCAACCACTACAATAAGTAGTACTTAAGATTAAAAGGATTATTGAACGTCCTGTTCATATTTAATGTAGTTGAAGCATTCGTGAGATGGCAACATTTCCCAGCGTTTTCTAAACGCGTTGGGTCCATGCCTGCACGCATGTAAGCGCGGTCCATAAGGAGGGATGTCACAGCTGTCAGTCCTGTACTAAACCTCATAAGATTTTTTTCTTTTAAATTAGGAATTTAAGCAAAAAATGTTGTCTCACTATTGTTAGCAAGCTAACCTTCAAGTGGGCCCACGGCCCAAACCTCCACGTCCCATAAAAAATAATATTTGTTGTGTGTTTCCATAAATTTACAGCTCTCCAATTTCCAAAAATAAATAATCTTGTGAGGAAATAGCTTATTGTTCGATAATGTTATTGACAATGCTGTTTTCGGAGGCCCTGCGGGATAAGGTGTACAATCCCTCAATTACCAATGCTAGCGTGGCCTCACGTTCTGTGCGGCCCAGTGCGTTGGACTGCGCCAGCCACTACATGTACAGGCACCCGATTCTGGATAATAGCACTTGAAAAGTAATAAAGTGTAGTGAGTCACAGTGTCCGAGCACAAGTCTTACGGCCTATTTTATATATAGGCCGTAAGACATGTGCAAGCTAGGCTATAAATTCAATGGGTTTATCATAAACTGTAGTATTGTCTAGAAGTTCAGCCATAGAAAAGCATTGACGGGGCGGGTAACCTGCACCAGAATAATACGGTCTCGTATTCAAGTTGCTTTATTTCTTCTGTCGCTACACAAACACTGAAAAATGGGACAAAGAGGGGAGTTCAAAACGAACTTCAGCTGTTGAACTACTTGTAGCTCTCTACTAGCGACAATCGTGTGGTCTTCGGGTGAGGCGTGCGTAAAATTCTACTTCTTCGTGGGTATTGTTTGGCGGTAATTGTCGTAACGCTTGACGATCATACTGACGTCATCGCCCGACTTGCCAAGCGAAGCGAAGTATTCTCGGACTTTGTCGGGGTGCATTTTCTTTCTGACCCAAGAGGGGAGCGCAGCTGTAAACAGGAATTCATCGCTTCCGAACTGTTTGAACCACTTGTCAACGGCAGCTTTCCTTTTAGCCGCATCCTGGGCCTTCAGTGCTGCCTTTTGAGACGCCTTAAGTGCTTGTGCGTTTTTAAAGGCGCTTGTGCCCGGAACAATCTTCTTAATCGACGCGAAGTTAATTGTCCTTTCTTCTTGGTTGCCGGTTTCCACAGGCTGTGGCACAGCATTCAACCGCAACAATCTTGCTGTTTCGTGAGTACCTTCACTGCTCTTGGGAGGTCCGAGTGCTGCCGCGGAGACTCGTCCATCAGGAATGATCGCAAATGCTACAGCCACCAAAACAAAAGCTGCCAGTCGCATAGTTGGTGGAAAAGAGTAGTGGTGGGGTTAGTACCTTCGGGTAGAATTGCGAATGAAGTAAATGAAGGAAAAGGTGGATCACAAAGAGGCGAAACGCTCAAACACCTGGATCGAAAGAGCCAGTAAACAGTCCGTGTGCTGTACCAATTCGTATTACAAACATCTAAGGATAATACATGTAGTACATAGTATGAACTACATTCAATTGACATTTAATATCCTTCGATGTGTCGTCTTGATATTAAATTGGCACTCGTTATTTTGCCCGACTGAGGTAACATAGCATCGCATTTTATACGTGTACAAATAGTATAGTACGGTTAAATTGGGGTAAAGGTAGGACACTAGCGCGTTTACACTCGTCTGCGGACTTATAGCCGTGGGCCCGCCCCTCTCTTCACTTGCTGCGCTGCGCTCGGGGGGCGCCGCTGCGCGGCCTGCCCCACCCCGGCCTCTAAGTCCTCGACTCGGCAATGCGCTGTGTCTGGGATTAGAAATTAATTCCGAGCGAGTGTTGCCAAGACCGTCGCTAAGGCCATTTTATGCATGTTGTGGGGGTATAATTGTATAGTCGGTTAGCCAGTCGGGCAAAATACTCACTTCCTATTAAATAGCATGAAGAAGTATGAATTCGTATTAATTACTACTAGTAATAGCAAGGGCTTGCGACACATCTAAGGATATTCGTAATATCATAATACAAATGCAAACCTCTTCTGAAAATCGTCCAGTACTGTACGATAATAAACCAGTACAATGTACAGTACTGCACCCCGTTTTCGAGTCCTTGGACCTTTGATAAACTTCCGGATTCGATGATCCAAAATTGGACCTTTGATAAACTTCCGGATTCGATGATCCAAAATAAAACAAAACTCAGCTGATTAAGCTAAAATGTTATTTATTCACAAAATTTATATAATACACCCCCGCGAAAACGGAGTGCAGTACTGTACATGTCTTTGCCCTGCAGAAGTTCTACTTAGATTGGGAGCTCGAGGAGCCCAAATTTAAAAGGGAGTGAGTGCTGCACCCACCTCGTGCACATGGGACAGTGCTGGAGGGCTTGAGATCCGCATCCGGCTTGCGGGTATACCTCGTGTAGCGTATACTTCCCCCCCCACTCATTTTTGCAGCGGGGGCAAATCAGCAGCAGCCAGGAAGCCATGGCGCCCGACCTGCGCGTCAAAGCGGCGGTGCGACCGCCGCGCCACGGAGGAGGGGCGAGTGATAGTGAAGAGGGGGTCGACAGCGACGAGGAGCGGTTCGACTCGTCAGCGGAGTCGTCGGGTACCGGCAGCTCCACATCCAAGCAGCGTCGATCGGATGTTTCCGACAGTCTCCAGACAATCCAGAGCGGTGAGCAGCCAGTGGTGATAGCTCCGTCACTCGAGAAGAAAGAGTTTAATTCCTGGGGTGCCTTAGACGCGTATCTAAAAGTCTATTTAGCCGAGACATACCAGGTAGCGTTTGATGTACTGCATATGGTAGCAGGAGCCATATCGCATTATCTAACTGGTTTGTGCGTACAATTGCTGCGTACAGAGCTTCCGCGTTCGCACTAACAACAAGGTCGTGACGAGAAATAAGAAGATTCGAGACTCCGGGTCTACGAAGCCGCTTGTGCCCGATGGGTGGACTCATTATTCGAAGACTTTCGTCTGCACCCACGCAGGGAAGTACAAGCCGCGTGGACAAGGCAAGAGAAAGCGGCAAGAGTCGAGAGCTCTCGAGTGTGACGCGCAGGTGTGTGACGCTCAGTCGGGCTCAGTCGGGCTCAGTCGGGCTCAGTTGGGCTCAGTTGGGCTCAGTTGGGCTCGGATGGACTGAAATGGATTTGAATGGTGCTGTTGGTTGGCCATGCGTGTGCTCACGTACACTTGTATCACTACGTAGATCAATGCCTGCGTACAAGTGACCGACTCGGCTGCAGCAGTTCCCACTTTTGTGCTGCGAATTACTGTTGCCCGTTTGGAGCATAACCATCCGCTCTCCAGACATACTTTCGACCATTATCCACACAGCCGGACAGCTGTTAAGTCTGAGCTGGCCGGGACTGTTAGCGAGCTTGTCAAAGCCGGAGCCAAGAAGAAACGCATCCTGCAGTTCATCCACGAGAATTCTAGCTGCTACCCAACGAGCCAGGACGTACACAATCTGGTGCGCAAGCTGAAGAAACAGACCCATACAGCTCAGACATCTGCAAAACGATTGAGGCAATGGATGACTGAGCTCACGCAAGAGCTAGGGAATGTTGGAGGCATTTTTGTCGACTCAATCCATGATAAGGTATGAACACTATTGCTGTTACTGTGTAGCCGTCGCTTGTTTAACTTTCTATGCTGATGTTAGACTGTAGCTACATGTATAACACTGCAGACAAAGCATATGCGGGAGCTCTTCGACCATTTCCCAGAGGTCGTGATGATCAACGCCACGCACGGTACAAACTTGTCAAATTACAAGGTTTTCTCGATTATGGCACACGACGCATTTGGGAAGGGCCAGTTCGTACAGCATGCTGTTCTCCAGAACGAGCGTAACCAGACGCTTCTGACGGCCCTGGAGCAGTTCAAGCGCTACAATCCGGCGTGGACGCACATCAAATGCATACTGATCGACAAAGATTTCGGCGAGATCGGCGTGTTGAAGAAAACGTTTCCGGACGCGGCGTTGCTGTTGTGCCGGTTTCACGTGTTGAAATATCTGCGAGAGCAGATAGCATCAAAAGACTATGGGTTCAATGCTTGGCAGAAGCAGCAACTGAACGGATTGATCAACTTGCTACCATCTGAGAAAGCTTAGGTCTGGGGATGTTGTGTTGGGCACTGGTCAGACGGAGATGGGCACGGATGGTGTCCAGTTGGGCATCAGTCGGGCGGAGTTGGGCGCGGATGGCGAACCGCGTGAAGCGTGCAAGCACCCTTTTGAAGCGTATTTCGTAAAAAAAACTGGGATAAGTGTCGTCAAATGTGGTGCGCGTTTGACAGGCAGAATGCTTGCACCCTCGGCAACAATACAAATAACCGCCTTGAAGCTTCGTGGAAGCAGCTGAAGGAGCTTGTGGACTCCTTTATGCAAGTGGACGAGTGCATTGTTTCGATAACGGTTTATCAAGCTCAGGCGGAGAGAAAATTTAAGGACGCGGTCTACAAACTATCTGTCGTGCATCATCCGAAGTACCATCACGAGATGGATTTTTTCTCGAAGCTGGTAAGCGAGCACGCGTGCGAGCTTGTGTACGTGCAGTACAACTTCGCGATCACCACGGCGAGGTATAATTTTCACGAGGCAGTCCCCGGAGTATACTTTATCCAGTGCGATGCGGACGATGAAGAGGCATTGGATGAACCGCATAGCGAGTACTCCGTCACGAAAACCGATTGGTCTTGCTCGTGTTTGTTCATGGCTTCACGTTTGCTGCCGTGTCGCCACGTGCTCTTCATTCGGAAGGCACTCAACTTCGAGAACGTGATTCCTACCCAGCTTCTGGATTCTCGTTGGTTACTGTCGTCGCTTCAGGTGGAATACGAGTTGCCCCAACTGTCAGAAGAACCGTTTCGTGTGTCCAGAGTGTTGAAGGAGGCCAATATGTGTTGGGGTTCCAACCGGAAGTTCCGCGAAGCAAATTTTGTGGCAACTGCAATTAGTGAGCACTTGAGTGGATTGGGGATGGTGGAGTACCGAGCAGCGATGAAGGCTTTGCGAGATGTTGCCACCCTTTTCAAGCATGGCGAGTACAGTACCATTTCCAAGGTAGCTGGTGGTCTTGAACTCGAAGACGGCTTGGGTGATGCAGAAATGGACACGACTGGTGGCGCGACTGGTGGCGTCAGTCACCAGACTAGAGACAGCGAAGTAGTGACAGAGGCGATGGGAGTGGTGCAAGTTATCACGTCTAGACAAGAGGATACTATGAGCCAAAGTGTGGCGTCTGCTTCTTACGTGGAGAGCACTCAAGTATGCCCAGACCAGTCCGGCTCAGTTGGGAGCGAGACGGGCACAGATGGTGGTGAGTTGGTTTCATTTGGGAGCGAGACGGGCACAACTGGTGGTGAGCTGGTCTCAGATGAGAACGAGACGGGCACACATGGTGACGAGTTGGTTTCAGTTGGTAACGAGACGAGCGCAGCTGGTGGTGAGTTGGAGGTGGAGACATCTCACAAAAATGACAACCATAGCGCTATGCTTGCTTCAGCAAAGTTAACCGATGATTTATAGATCGTGAGTCCCCCAAAATCCAAGGGACGTCCAAAACAAAAGCCACGGGCTGTTACAGCAAAGCGGAATCAAGCGATAGTAATGGTAGAGGAAGACTTGGAAATGCACGAACGCCAAATGAGTCTACTGACAGTTCATGAACTACTGGACGGCGATCCCATTTACAAGTTGACACACGAGAAGCTGCTGCAGTTCAAGGAGTTCCTGTTCGCCACGAAGCCGAAGCCTCCCATCGCCCACGAGATAGCGAAGCTCCCCCCCCACAAAACCACTGATGCGACCAGAAGAAGTGATGCGAATCTTCCCCATCCAATTAATTAACAAATGTACCTCCAAGGTCACAGCCTACCAAGCAAAAAACCCGGGAACGTTGGAAATGCAGCTGGCGCTGGAAATTGTTGGCGTTGGAGTGTTAGCGAACTCTACGGTATCGCTCATGAGAAAGTGGCACACCGCAGTAAAATTCGTCAAGAAAATCAAAAGAGCTATAACCTGGATTGATCGATTAGACTTCGCGCAACACGGGAATTCTCGCTTCTACGTCGAGGAGGACACCACTATACCAAACCTGTTGAAAGATTTGCCAATTCTGTCGAACGAGTATGCAGACTTGGTGGACCTGGCTTCGAAGGACACCCTTAGCGCCCAAGTCATGCAGATGATTTTACACAAACTGTTTGGTGCGGATCCTAGTATTCTAGTGATCGACCCGTCTAACATGGGGATTGCAAATGGAGCTTTAACGACAGACATCAGGTATTTTAAACTGGCGTTGGCTGGAGTCACGAAGAAGATGAAAGTGCTGTTTTCAATCAACTGCAACAACAACCACTGGTGCGCTGTGCTAATGGATTTGGAGAAGGGCAGAGTGTACGTCTACGGCTCGATGGCGTCCTCCTACATGATCGGTGTCCGTGCCGTGTCACAGAAGATGATCATGATGCTGCCAGACGGAGTCAGATCTAGTGCTCGCTTGGTGACTCACGACCCTGGACTTGGCGTTCAGTGCGACAGCTATAATTGCGGTTTGTATGTCTTGCTGGTACTTGAGATGTTCTGTGGGTCAGAGCCGCTCGGCCACCTCGACAAAAATACTCTGCAATGCATGCGCTACCGCTACTTGCGCATGTGTATAGAAGAACAAGGAAGTAGCAGTAGCTAAGTCACTGAACTCGCTGCATCGAACTATGTTTGTCGAGTTATAGGCTTGATAATGTCTTTAGTAATTGAAGGGGATAACCTGCTCAGCAGAACGCTTCTATCTCTGCGGACTCTGGTACTGTCACTGAACTCGTTGCATCGAACTATTTTTGTCGAGTTATATGCTTGACAATGTCTTATGTAATTGAAGGGGATAACCTGCTTAGCAGAATGCTTCTATCTCTGCGGACTCTGGTACTGCCGATGTCGATCCACTCCGGCTCTTTGGCATCTTTCGGATATGCGTGTATAGTGTATAAGTTTTAGGCCGGCTCTTTCGATTTGGGTGCTGTAGTGGGCACAGGATGGGTGTCTGACGGTCACAACTGGGTACGGGTGGGTGCTGGTTTGGTGTCGTAATTCTGTCTTGTCCCGTCCCATGTGCACGAGGTGGGTGCAGCAACGAGTGCCAATTTAAAATAGAGGTATTTGATGTATTCAAAAATGATCCAAAGGTCTCGCCTGTAGACCCTCATAAAATTGCAATGTCGTGAGCTGGGCCAAGAGAATGCGGTATGCCCCGCTCAAAAAATTACAACGGAGATGTATTGTAATATATCACGAAGCTATATTACGCGTCAGCTTTGCTAGTCGGTGGCTCAAGGTAGAGTGATACATCGACCACCCTAAATTTGGAGCTTTCCTTGATTTTCTTTTTGCAAAATGCATTTGGGTACATCATATTAGCCCTTTTCTAATTTTGGGTACCTCGAGTTTCCCGTGGATTAAAAGCAGTTTAGGAGAGCCTACCTAATGTCATATCCCTTTCAGTCTGCATTTGCGTATTTCTCTTCCTCACGAATTGGAGCCTCAAGTTGGAGGTTCACCCTCCGCCATGACCTCCGACTGCTCCAGCGCCACTTACGAGCACCTGTTCCGCTCTCTAGCGCGTCATTCGCGTCTGTTCCCATTGCGCAGCTCCGACGTAACGTTATTGGCCACACCCACAGACTTCTACCAGCAGCTAGTGCACAATATACAGCTCGCAGAGACACGAATCTCCATCTCCTCGCTGTATCTCGGCACGGGTCAATTGGAGAGCGATTTGGTGGGCGCACTAGCCACGAGACTAAAAGAACGACCGCATCTCCAGGTGCAGATCGTACTGGACTATTCTCGCGGCCAACGCGGCGGTGTCACGGCCAGTTCCGTCACCATGTTAGCTCCATTATTGAAGCAATTTCCGAACAACGTGGAGCTATTTCTATTCCGCGTACCACAACTCTCAGGACTCAAAGCCAAACTACCTCCGCAATTTAATGAGACGCTGGGCGTCTCTCACGCTAAAGTGTATTTAGTGGACGACACTCTCGTGCTTAGTGGCGCAAATTTGAGCAACGATTACTTCACCAATAGACAGGATCGATACGTGCAATTGACAAACTGCGGGGCGTTGGCACAGTTCTACCATCAGTTCGTACAACTGGTTACCGGTTTTTCGTATAGAGTCAAACTGGAATCGTTGACATCCGCCAAGAGCGACTACAAGTTGTTGGCACCTCAACTGGCTCACGACTCGGAGGCCGCAAAGACGGCAATGCGACGCGATCTCGAGAAGCTAGTGGACCCAAGTCAGTATCAGCAAGATAAAGACGACGCACGCACCGATGCGTGGGCGTTTCCAACGCTGCAATTTACACCAATCTCCATGGACCACGATGAGCGTGTGCTAAGTGAGTTTGTGCGGCAATTACCGCGTGGTTCGCAGCTCCAAATTGCGTCGGGATACTTGAATTTTCCTCCGTTTCTAAGTGGATTATTGGAACACTGTCAAGCTGGTTTAGACGTGATTTCTGCTGCCCCACGAGCGAACGGCTTCTACGACGCACGTGGCGTGAAAGGAGCGTTGCCTATGGCTTATTCTCTGATCGAGC